GTTCTTGGCGCTTTTGTTCAAGCCAGTTACGAAGGCGCTTTACCTTGTCCGTGACTATACCAGACTCATTTATGAAGTAGCAGCATTCTTCACCCAGCATGGCACAGGTTCCCCCTTTTTTCTGGATGTCAGGACATCCAGAGCTTGGCAGTTTTGCAGAGCAACAGCAGCAAGACTATTAATTTGGTTTTGAAGTGAATTAATGGCAGGTGTTATCTCATCTATTTTTTGGTGTAAATCGAGAGAGAGTGGGTGATAGAGATTTGTAGTATAAATAGCTGAGCCTACTTCTCCTGCCACAAGCCCCACTCCAAGAGCTGAGGGGATGCTCACCCCAATGAGAACTGGGATATGAGCAGCTCTTTTTGTTTTAGTGAGATGGATTTTTGATGGCTCAGACAAGAGGTGTGTTTCTATAGTGTATTGTGAATTTAAAGTCATGGCTGGCACCAAAAGGACAAGTGTACAGGACCCTGTCCATTTTGGGGGAAGGCAGGTATAAGCCCTCATTTTACATCCTATAAACCAACCTTTAGGTGGGCAAACTGCCATGTCTTTTGCGTGTGTAATGTACTCAGCACAGTGGAGAAGATCTTGTAATTGAAGTGAGTAGTTTTTAGATTGAGGGATCAGACAAGTAAGATTAGCTGACCATTGCTGAGAGTCATGAATGAGTAGGGGACCTACTATGGCAGGATTAGGTGGGGAAGATAGATGAGAATTATTCCAGTGTGGGAGCTGCCATGTAGAGGTCTTGCCTGTAGGGGACACAGAATCAGCATTCTGTGAGATTGGAGGTGTGTGAGAGAGTGTCATAGGCATGTGACAGAAGTTGAGGGATAGGAGGAATGACTTTCTGTTGTAGTACATTTGAAGGGTAGCCTGGGATCTCAATAACAGGAAGTGGAGATGTAAGTCGAGTTTTTATGGTCATAAAATTGCCATAAGGTGTCTGCCATGTATTACCAGCATTACGGAAATAGAGTCCCCAAGTTCTGCCCAAGAGGAGTTCAGGGCATGTTGCATTGGGGATTGAAATTGTTACCTGCCTGGCATCAAACCAACCTACAAACCAGACTGAGATAAATGGGTCTGCATCTTTTAAGATTTGTCCATAGTTATTTATGCCTATGGTTTCGCAGCCCTCACTGTCACGATAGAAGACATTGGCATTGGCACATTTTCACTGGTGAAGTGAGGGAGGTCATGGAGTGATATATAGGCTATCCAGGTAGCAACATATTCCTACAGGTGAAGTACATTTTGAACCCAGTCTCCACTCTTTGTGTGTGCCACCTTTTCCTCTTCCTGTCCCTTCCCAGGTATCTCCCACATCCCACGTTTGTTGGATTGGTACTAGCCGACAATAAGGGATATGGAAAACAACCTTGGGATTGGAGGGAGTAAGATTGTAAGAACCTATTATCCCTTGATCTGACAGAGAAAGTGTTGTGGTATAAATGGGCCGTGTAGCTGAAGGTGGGCTAGACAGAGTTGGGAGTAAGAAGAGCATGAGACTCAGGAGCAGGAGCATATCTGAGAGTAGTTGGTTGCTAGCAAACTTGTAACAGTCAAGTGTTGGAATTCCAAAAGCTGCTGCAAAATGTAAGAGTATGAGAGTTACCTTCTGTGGCACCTGAAAGTCGTCCAGGCAAACAGTCCAGAGTTCAGCAGCGAATGAGATGAACAGCAGGGAATACAGGATCAGGAACCAGATGGGAAGCACTGCATGAGTTACAGGTTTTTTGTTGTTTTTTTTTTTTTTTGTTTTTGTTTTGAGTCCTTGGTTAGGCAAAGGTGCGTAGGTGACAGGAGCTGTGAAGACCGCTCCAGAGGGGTGGGATTGTCTGGTGGAAGGGTGTCATCTCGGCACCGTTTGGCTCAAGTAATGTGGAGCCAGGAGGGCAGGCCGGTGACTTTTATCGCTGTTGGTGTTGAAAGGATGACCAGGTGAGGGCCTGTTCACGTAGGATCCAATCCTGTAGGCTTAGAGGATTTAAGATATATTAAGTCTCCAAGAAATATAGATGGCACCAAGTGAGTAGTATCTACCAGTTGTGGGAGGCAGGTGTCTGCATGTTGTCACAGCAGGTACCAGAGAAAGGATAAAACAGGAGCATAATCAGCAATGGGAGGGAGGTGATCAGGAGTGGGGAAGCTATGAAGCAGAAAAGGTCTACCATATATGAGCTCGAATGGACTTAGGAAGGTGGGGCCCTGGGGAGTGCCCTAAGTCTAGTTAGAGCTAAGGGAAGGAGCTGAGGCCAGGGCTGATGTAGCTCTAAAATGAGTTTTGTGAAATAAGACTTTAAGAGTCCATTTGCCTTTTCTACTTTACCAGAGGACTGTGGATGGGATGGTATATGTAGGTGCCAAGTGATGTTAAGGCTCGAAGCTACCTGTTGAGTGATTTGGAAAATGAATGTGGGGCCATTATCTGACTGAATAGTCTGGGGGAGCCCAAATCTGGGAATGATGTCCTGTATGAGAACTCTAGTGACTATATCTGCAGTTTCTCGAGTGGTGGGAAAAGCTTCTATCCACCCTGAGAACGTGCAGACTAAAGTGAGAAGGTACCTCTGTGTCTTGTAGCGAGGCATGTGTGTAAAATCTATCTCCCAGTCTTCTGCTGGGGTGTGTCCATGGAGCTGGTGGGTTGGGAAAGAGGGGGATGGTAAATGTCCCTGAGGAGAAGTCTTAGCACAAAGCTGACAGTTTTGAGTTACCTGGCGAATGATAGTTTTTAAGGAAGGGTGTGTCGGTGATAGCAGTTAAGAGTTTATATAGAGCCTGAATACCAATGTGAAAGCAACTGTGTAGATTGGTGATAATGGCTACTGCTTGTTGATTTGGGAGAAGGAGTTTTGGCCCTTGGAAAATCCATCCCTGTGTGTTTTGGTGATAGTCAGGTTTATGGAGCAACTGTAGTTGTTCTGGTGAATACTGGGGTGAAGGCATAGATTTTGGGATGATAGGAAGAAGGTGAGAAGGATATGACTGTTGAGCAGCTAATTTGGCTTGTGTGTCAGCAAAGGCATTACCCTGAGCAACTGGGTCTGATGGAGCCTGGTGTCCCCAGCAGTGAATGACTGCCACCTGTTTGGGGATCTGTGCTCCTCTAGAATTTGAAGAATGAGAGGTGCATTGGTCATAGGAGTTCCCTGCATGCTGATAAATCCCCTTTCTTGCCTCTTGATAGCAGTGTGAGAGTGGAGAATACTAAATGTGTACTTAGAGTCTGTATAGATGTTTATAGCTCTGTCTTTGGCTAGTGTAAGGGCACGTGTAAGAGCTATGAGCTCTGCCTTCTGTGAAGACATCCCAGGTGGTAATGGGCCTGCTTCTATTACAGTTGACCTATTTACTATGGCATATCCTGCCCTCTTTTGGGTGCCTATGTTTGTTGAGCTGCCCTCTATAAACCATGTGTCAGAAGCTTTGGGAAGGGGAGTGCTGTCATCATGTGGGGAAAGGGAGTCGGGGTCATCTGCCGGACCTCAACACAACTATGTTGGGGAGCCTCATCAGAGGTGGGGAGTAAAGTAGCGGGATTGAGAGAGATACTGGTAGAAATAGTAATGGAAGCATCCTCTGTGAACATTAGGTGGATCTGATGCGTGGGAGAAGAGGTCATTAAGGCCAGAAGTGTCTTATGTGTAAGGAGCTCACTGAGGTGATGGGGTGAGTGGACTGTGATAGATGGTCCTAAAGTAAACTTTTTTGCCTCTTGGGTTAGTATAACTGCCACCATAAGAGCTCGAAGGCATGGAGCCCATACACAAACTGTATTGTCTAGTTCTTTAGAAAGGTATGCGACTGCCTGAAAGGATGACCCCTTTTGTGTCCTAAAACACCCACTGTATTGTGTCCCTGAGAAGAAGTATATAGGGTAAAAGGATGGGTTGGGTTTGGCAGAGTTAGGGCTGGGGCCTTTAGAAGAGCCTGCTGCAGTTTGTGAAAGGAGGAATGTATAGGAGCAGTAAGGCCTAGGGTTTCTGACAAGGAGCCTTTTGATGCTCTATAGAGGGACTGTGCTAGGGAATCAAAATTGAGAACCCAGAGATGAAAGAAGTTGGCTAAACCAAGGAAGGATAAAACCTGTTGTTTTGTGGTGGGCACCTGAAGATTACGGATAAGGGCCTTGTGATCAGCAGTGATTGAGCAAGTAGTGGGGTGGAGGGTAAGTCCTAGATATTTGACTTTCGGTGAAGCTATCTGGGCCTTGGTTGGAGAGACACTATCACCACGTTTTGATAGGAAATTGAGGAGAGTAGCTGCATGTTGTAGAGCTAGGGCATGAGAGTGGGAGCAAAGGAGATCATCAATGTATCGAAGGAGCAGGCTGGACTTGAGATCAAGGGTCTCAAGGTCAGCAGCAAGGGCTTGACTAAAGAAATGGGAACTATCTCTGAACCTTGAGGCACGACAGTCCATATAAGCTGTTGAGATGTAAGAGTGTCTGGACCAGTCCATGTGAAGGCAAAGAGGTCCTGACAATCTGGGTGTAAGGGAATGGTGAAGAAGGCATCCTTGAGGTCTAGGACAGTAAAATAGGTAGTGGAAGGGGGGATATGAGAGAGCATGGTGTAGGAGTTTGGCATCACTGGGTGAATAGGAGTAATTGCATTATTGATGAATCTGAGATCTTGGACTAAATGACAGGAGCCATTGGGTTTGAGTACTAGAATTGGGGTATTATATGGTGAGTGGGTAGTTCTAAGAAAACCATTGGTAAGGAGGCAGCTAATTATAGGTTTTATTCCCCATTGGTGTTTAGGGGCAATAGGATATTGGGAAACACAAGGAAAAGCTGAGGGATCCCTGAGTTGGACTACTATTGGGACAGCATGGGTGGCATGAGTAGGGCTTGAAGTGTCCCAAACTATAGGATCTACAAGAGATGGGGGAAGTGGAGGAGATGTGCTAGCAGTGCATGGAGATGAGGTCCAGAGGATTAGAGCCATGGGGAGGGAAAAAGTAAAGGAGAAGTTAAGCTTTTGGAGGAGATCTCTACCTAACAGGGGGTGAGACATGTTGGTATAACTAAAAAACTTTGAGTGAAGAGGAGAGTTTGGAATCTGCAAGGGATAGGCCCTGTTTGCAGAGGTTGTGGAGGCTTCCATCAACTCCTACTACAGAAATCTTTTACCTAATACATTGACCTGAAAACTCAGGAAGGACACTATATGTGGCCCCCGTATGGCCATGACTCATCCACATGGCTGCACTGATAAATGTTCTACAATCCGAGGTACAGGATCTCAGGATGAATCCTGAGGGCATTTCACTGACCTCCTCAGACCAAAAAGCTACAACTCTTGTTGCATAGGTCCTGCTTTACCTTGGTCTTAACCATCCAGTAGAAAAGTATGAAGATGAAATATAAGAAATAAAGCCATGCTGTTAAGTTGAGCTGTGCGGGACTCAAGTCAATAATTTCTGACATTGCCAGTTAAACAGAAGACCCAATGCTATTATGGGCTACTGGACTCTTTTAGAATATTTTGCTGAGTTTACACACCTATAATATTCAATAACGGAACTTAGAAAAAATGGGGTATACCGATGAATGTTCATTTTGTATCTGTGTATTCAAAGTGGTTGGGATAGATATATAGTTGCATTCTCTTAATGAATAGAATGATTTGTTCTAATGGTGTTTGTAAATAGGATCACAAGTCTGCATCTCGTACAGCAATTAACCACTAAGAAGAATATATGCAGTGTATTATTTGTTGAAACTACTTCCAATTTGATTTGAAACTGTCTCATTGCTATCTATCAATAAAACTTTGAAAAAAAGAAAAGGGAGCATTTTACCTGAAATATCCAGTGAGACTCGGGGTTCTGATGAGGATACCTTCACACAGGGGCCGGACACCGTCAATCTTCAGCATCAATGATTCCCAGTAGATTGACCAGTGGCCTACCAGCCACAGGTGGTGAAGCAGTTGGCAGCATGTATTTCTGTGAGGGTAAGGAATGGATTGACTTACCCACTCTCTGGCAGATGGGGCAATCAACTTTCCAGTGTCCTTCAAGGTTGCAGAGGGGGAAAGGCCCTGGCAGCAGCCGTGGGTTGGGGCAGGCTTGTGCCCAGTGTCCATTTTGCTTGCATTTGAAGCATCCTGGTGGAGTTTGGGTCTTGGCACTATCCTGTTAAGGCTCCTGTTTGGACTTAAAAGTCTGAGTTGCCTGTTGGACCCCAAGCATCACTGCCAAGAGCTCTTTTTTAAAAAGGTCAGCTTTGTATTGGGCATGTTCCTTCTTTTTTTGCTCTTGCTTTAAATCTTGTAGTTGCTCCCTATTGTTAAAAATATGGAATGCCACCTTAAGGAGTTCCTCCTGAGAGGCCTGTGGGCCTTCTGGCACCTTCTGGAGTTTTATTCTAATGTCTGGTGCTGACTGGGTAATAAAACAGGAGTTGATGAGAACTATACCTTCATGAGACTGAGGATCAGCATTAGTGAATTTAGTTAATGTCTCAGTGAGGCGTGAAAGAAATTCAGCAGGATTTTCATCAATTTGTTGGGTCTGTTCTTTTAATTTATTATAATTAGTTTCTTTGTGGAAGATTTTATTTAGGCCTTCAACAATACAAGTTATCATATGTCTCACCTGACGGGGCCCATCTACTGTTTGATAATTCCAGTTAAGTTCTCTATCTGGGACCACATCTGCCCCTTCAGGGTGCTCTGGATTGAGTCAGCTTTTCTGATCTGCTATGCTCTGGGCTGCCTGCCACAACTGTGTTTTCTATCGAGTGTGAAGCATGGAACCAAGGATAGTATAGACATCTCTCCAATGTAAATCATAGGAGTTAACTATAAATTGAAGTTCTTTAATATAGGTATGAGGGTCGGCCGAGAAAGATCCCAGTCAGTGACTTAAATCAGAAAGATCCCAGAGGGAAAAGGGAACATGAATACGAACAAGTCCCTCAGGGCCTGCCTGTTCTCAAAGAGCAAAAAGGGATTGGGGCTTATTATCATCAGGCAGGGCTTGGCAGGATGGCAACAGCTCAGCATGCTATAAAGTGCCACAAGAAGGCATCTTGGCATCACATGCTGAATCCCCATGCCACAGATGGCCACGTGGCCCACAACATGGCGGCGGCTCATCATGTGACACAGCGCCGGAAGTTGGTGCTCTGACGTCACAGGAAGAGCGACCATAAGATGGCTGCCGCCTACATGACCCCCAAGATGGCGGTGGCTCATCATGTGACAGAGTACCAGAAGTTGGCGCTCTGACATCACAGGACGAGCGACCGCACAATGGTGGCTGGCAACCACATGGCCCACAACATGGTGGTGGCTGGCCACAGGGCAGGCCGCCACATGCTGTGGGCACATTGGGAGGTTGAGTCGCGCGGGTGCGGGTATGGAACAGGAAAGGAGAAAAGGAGGAAGGAGGACACGCTGGCTCCTGAGGTTCTAGTGCAGAGGAGGAAAGAGAGGCGGCGGCTCCTGTAAGGGAACTAGGAGGTGAAAGCTGACAAGGCAAAGTTTCCAGCGGAGAGGGTAGAGAGGGTAGCATTGGCGGATACGGCAGAGCAGAACTGGGGGAAGAAAGCTTGGGGGAACATCATCAGTAGGGTCATCAGAGAGGGAGTCTGGTCGGAAGGACGCTGGGGCAGGGTCTGGCGCTGTGGAGCCGGCCAAGAGTACTTGCTTCGCTCCACATGCCTCAGTAAGGGAGGGACGTGTCCGGAGCGCAATAAAGGCCTGAATAGAAGGAATCTCTTGCCATTTGCCATTATGGTGACAGTATCTGTCCAGATCGGCGAGGAGTTTGGAATCAAAGGATCCCTCCTCAGGCCATTCGCTGCCATTGTCTAGTTTACACTGTGGCCAAGCCTTAATCGTTTAGGTTTGAGGTAGCCTCGAAGTCCGAGGGCGCTGAGGTTCTTTAACAGACAACCCAGCGGAGCGTGTTCTGGAGGACGGGAAGGAATATTTTCCATAGTGACCGAATTAAAAAGGTGAGCCAAAGATTAGGGCAAAAGCCCGACGTCACTTCCCACTAACAAGCCATCACTTTTTAGCCTGGAGTGAGTATGAGAGAAAGAGTCCAACACCCACTTTATCAGTTGTCACTAGAGAGAGCAGGGAGCTGGGGGCCAGGTGGCCGAGGAAGACGGGTGGGGATCCGGACGTGAGATCATGATTTTCAAGACCAGCGGAAAATATGAAGCGAGATTCCCCCAGATGAGATTTGGGCCTCATCTGGGTGGATAGAAATTGGCCGGTGTTGGATGCAAGCTAGCAGCGGAAGAGACAGAAGCGGAAGCAGAGTGCAGCTCGGTGGGGGAGCTCAAAACCAAGGCTCAGGTGCCCCAGGAGCCACACAACCCACCATCCGAGTCATGGCACCAATTAATGACAGAATTCACCCAGCAGCAGTGGTGGCGGTGATGGCAGCAGAGCAGCAAAGAGACAGAAAAGATAAAAGAGGCTTTTATTGCGGACACGTGAGGACTGCAAGGAAAGACGCGCAGAAACCCTTAGGCCCAAACAGTGGAAGGCAGCTATATTTATAGGTTCCTAAAGGGGGCAGGGCCTTGAGAGGTGAGTTGATGACGTTGTGAAGGCTCATTGGATATCCTCCTGGGAGGTGCGGTAGATCATCTTGGCACGCCAGATGAAGGGAATGCTGGGAAGAAGAAGAGGTAGGTAGTTGTTCTGGGCTCACCGCCACCTTGTGGAGACGCCATGGTGATTCAGCCAGTTTCCACATGGGCCAGACCCATCAAAAAGGATAAAGAAGTTTTTCCTAAGTGAGGGAAGAGGAGATGAAGGGGTGCATCAGCCCCACATCTGCATCCCGGCTGACAGATGTGTGGGCCTTTCGCTGTAAGGAGCAATGGGCAGGAGCGCAGTGAACAGGGGACAAGTCCAGGCTTGTTCCACCACTTCCCAGGCCCAGGCCCTGCTCCCTTCCAGATAGATACCAGAGTGGACTTGGACCTTGGCTTCCAGCATCCTCCCAAGGACAGCTGGCAGTGCCCTAACTGGAGCAAGTTTGGAGAAGCCACTTATCTCTAGATGAACAAATGGCCCTTTTTCTCTCCCCCTCCCCAGTATGGACACAGGGCCTTCCCAGCAGCACCTTTCTACTTTTTGGTTTTAAACAAACTTTGCTTGCTCAGGTTGCTACACTGCCCAGATTGGGCTCAAATTTATAATCTTCCACCCTCAAGCTGAGAGCATTGGGATTACAGGCATGAGCCCCCACACCCAGCTAAAATCTGACTGTGAATTTCTGCTGGGCGGGTTACAACATGATTTTGGTCCATTAATAGAGTGTAGTATTTCATTGGATTAGTTTAAAATTGAAAACTAAATTTAAATTATTTTTAACTAATTTTAATTAATTAATTAATTAATTTACATTTTAAAACTAAACCTGAGGAAAGGGAGGAGAGGAGACAGGAAAGCAGAAAGAATTAATTTGGGTTATATACATGGGCCATCTCCCCATGCCGAATGTGATGATTATGCACTCACACACGTACTGATAAAAATTAAAATAAGAAAAGGGAAGAGAAGATCACTACAAAAAGAATTAAAAATAAACTTTAGTTCCTGAAATAAACTCAGGTGGCCCCAAGTTAGGAGGTCTGGTTTGTTTTGGTTCAGTTGGGAGTTGTATTTCGGTGTTTGTTTTGTGGTACAGAGGATTGAAACCAAGCTCCTCACACTCAGCTAGGTCTCCTGCCCTTCACCACACCCACGCACTGATTAGGTTTTGTCACTTCCTTGAGTGAATGTTGTTAGTCTGTCACTTCTAAAGAATTTACATAAGTCACCTAAGTTTTTTAAACTAATTGAAGCAAAATTATTCCTAAATCCTTTGTGATCTTTTTTTTTTTTTTAAAGAGCCATGGTGCTGTCTCTTATGTAAATATCTAATATTGGTCCATTAGCTTTTCTCTCCCATTCTGGCTACAACTTTATCAGTTTCAGTGATCTTTAAATAGAAGTATATTGAATTTCATTGATTTTCTTTTCTGCTATTATTGATTCTTTCTCTTACTACTTAGTTCTTTCTGTTGTGCTTCTGTTCAAGTTTTTTAAGATTGAATTATGACTAATCTCACTTAACATTTTTGTGTTGTTTTTAGAAGGCAAGAATGAGAGTGTGTAGCCCAAGCTGGCCTTAAACTTGACACAATCACCATGGATAACCACTAAGAAGATAACAATGGACAATGTATTGATTATCAAAACTATCCTATTAATCAGCTTTGAAACTGTCTCGTTTGTATTTGTTTCTCAATAAAATTAAAACTAAAAAAATTTTTAAAAACTTGACACACTCTTTCTGCCTCAGCCTCCAGAGTAATGAGGTTGTAGACAGGTGTCACCACACCTGGCTTTGTTCTTCTCTAACCTAAGCATTTCCTGCTATAATTTTCCTGTCTGTTGATGTTTGTATTATACTCGCAAATCTCATTGTGCTACGTTCTATTTCATTAAGTCCAAAATATTTTGTAACTTCAATTATGATATGTCCTTTTTTTTTTTTTTTTTTTTTTGTATTTTAGGGAAAGGTCTACAGGGTGTTTAGGGTCTCACCACTAGATCAGACTCATAGTGATTCTCCTGTTTACAGCTTCCCAAGTGCTGGGATTACAGGCGCACGCCACCACACTCAGTCTCAATCACTATCTCAGCGTGCCCCGGGGGCGGGGCCAGCATGCAGTATACCCAGGGATGGAACCCCTGGCCCCTGTGCCTGCTTGCAGGTGCTTTAATCTGCTAACCTATTTGGCTGGCCCTTATATGTCCTTTGATCTATGTTTTAGTATACTATTTAATTTTTTAATATTTGGAGAGTCTCCATATATCTTTGTGTGAGTGATTTCCATCTGAATTTTGTTTTAGCTAAAAAACATACTTGGCATTATTTTATTTTAAGCCAGTTAAGTTGGCTTAGATTTGTCTTCTGGCCTACAATGTGATCTACATTGAAAAGAATATGTATTCTGCTAGAGTTCCGTGGAGTGTTTCATAAGTATCAAAGAGGCCAGACTGGTTTTTGCTTATTCTATCTTTTGAATGTCACACACAGCCCTCCCATGGAGCCACAGCCTGTGTTCAGGTGGTTCTTTACCCTGTTCAAATGCTTGCTGCTCTTCTGTTTGTTCTGTTGATTATTAAGAGCTGGTTCATGGATTTCTGTGTTCTCCTTTAAGTTCTTCCAGTGATTTGCCTCAGGCATTTAGATCTCTTGTTAGGAACACATATCTGTATGATTGTTGGGTCTTCTCCATGAATTGACCATGTTGTTTTATGTAACATTGTTGTAGGCAGCTGAAGTAGATAGAAATATTATAGGCAATCAGACAGGGCTGGGATCTCAAAGAGATAGCATGGAAGACAAGATACCTTGAACCATGGGCCAGACCTAAAGACCAAAGATTGAACAAATGTTCACCTCCCTAAAGATAAGCATCCTAGATTGATCATCACCTTGAGGAAGCCAGGAAGTCACTAATCCAACTGCTACCAGCTACTGGATAAACTCCTGCTCTGTATTCATGCCCACTTGCTACATGACTCGTGACATACTTCCCCAATTGGTCCTGGGTTTAATCAGTTTTACCTGAGCAGTGGTGCTTGTAACCTTATTGGTTGACCATAGTTTTGTCCCTACCTCATGCCCACCTAAGCAAGTTCCCATTTTATCAACCTTAGACCCATGTGGTTGTGCTCTATAAAAATAGCTGGAGGAGACAGCTTCTGGGGTAACCTGCTCTGGTCCCCTCCTGTCCCTCTCTCAGACAGAAGCTTTCTTTCCCCCCAGTAAATATATTCTACTCTTAACCTCCATTGTTCCAAAATTTGTTCTTCACTTTTACAGAACATGAACTCAGCCCAGGAACCTTTCCAGTTGGGAGTTTCATTCCCTACATCAACATCTTTCTGGATATAACATTATGTAATACTCCTGGTAACGTTCCTGATAAGCTCTGCTCTCTCTCTCAGATACTAGTATAATCTCACCTGCTTTCTTATAAGTGTTTGCATAGCACTACATTGTTTTCTATTCTTTGCTTTCAACCAGTTTAAGTCTTTGCCTTCAGTCTACAGAGCGACTCTATAACTAGGTACTATTATTACACCTGATTTACATGTGAGACTGAGGCAGAGCCTTGCCCTACCTGGACTCCCCTTTAGCCCTCTTCTGTTGCTATTCCTAGTACGTCCAGGTTACAATTTTTTAAGGCCATCAGTTTTTATTATTCACCATGCAAAGTCAATAAAATACTTCGAATAATATAATGTGCATTTTCAACATCAGAGGACCCAGTAGAGCTTCAATGTTTTGCATAAGGAAAATTTAAATAGCAATTGGAACAGTTTTAATTTTAGTGAATTGGTTCTTAGGGAAAAGAAACAAGGTTTCTGACCTCAAGTCTATAGACACCTAACTTGAACTGTTTTTCTTTCTCTTGCCTAATTTCTGCTTCAGATCATTAGCAATGTGGTTATTGACATTGATAAGATAATAGGCTTAAGATAATAGTCATAAGATAATAGGCTTATGGCCAGGCTCAGTACCAGATGCCTCAAGAAAGGCAGCCCAGCAGGGCTACCCATCACACAGCTGGGACTCAGTTAGTTTACATGAAGAAGAGAGAGTGAGGCAAGGAGGCCACATGGTGCCCCTGTTCCCAGCAGCCCTCTGGAGGACTGTGAGCTCCTGCCACATGGTCTCTGTTCCTGAGACTGAAAGTGGTACAGTGAGTGTCAGCCCTAAAGCTAGAACAGCTGCCTTAAGCTCTTCTCTCCAGATCCCCTTGGAGAAAGCAGAAACAGAGGGAACTGGTGCTTTCCCAGTAGCCAGGCCTCTGGCACAGTGTCCCTGGCATTTCTGAATTCCTTTGTGTCCCCCACAGAGTTTCTAAAAGAAGTCTTCAGAGTTGCTGAACCTCTACCTAGGCAATCCTGCTGCTTCTCCACCTGAGCATGGGGAAGCAGCCTTCCCCCAGTGCCCACTCAGTCAAAGCTCCTACCTCTGCTGAAGATGGCTGTCCGCTCTCTTCCCGGCCACCCCAGCCACCAGGCCATGGACTCTGCACCTGCCTGAAGGGTGGCGGCTCTGTCCCCTCTTTGCCAAATGCCTGGCTTCACTGCCCTTCTTTCAGACTCAATGATTTCTCACCCTGTAGATATATTTGCACTTTCTAAAAATATAGACCAGCAATTAAATAATCCACACAGGTTTTTCCATCAGAATTTTTTATTTTCTTTCTTTAAAGTACCAACAGTATTTTACTCATATTTTCATACACTTACCGTCAACAAGGTACTGGTTTGGGACTCTTTCTTTAAAATGATCCCAGTTCAGCATCAAGCTAATACTCCACCACTTCTTTCTCTGAAGGCTATCGCTTTATTTTGTGCAGTGACCACATAAGTGAGCATCAGAAGCAAAGGCCTGTGACTATAATTTTCTAGATTATTTCATTTCAGTATTTACAATTGTGACAATATTACTGTATTTCTAAGTACTGTTTTTCACAAAAAAGTGAACAGTAATTCTCCTTAATATCTTAAGAATGCTAAGCCTGAAGGGCATGGTCCCTGGAGCCAGCTGCCATTAGAGGACTTCGTGAGCTTAACCCAAACATTCTCAGTCTCAGTTTTCTCACCTGTGACAATAAAAGATTAGACAAAGTGCTCAACAGAGACCTCTCTAATTCTAAGAGTCTAAAACAGCTCAGGAGAAAGAATGTTTTTTGGCAACAATCAACCAGGTATATGGTTTTGAAGTGTTAATGATTGACAGCTTCTGACACGGAAATCAGTAAAACGCAAATCAAATATTTACACATACCTCCCGAGCTGTGTATTTTCCATTATGAGAAGGGATTGGGCAATGGAAAATTTCTCAGATACTTTTACTGGAAGAGGCTGATTAAGCTTAGCTTTTTGTTACTGTTATGTAAAGCCCATATGAGAACATTAATGATATGTGAAGCCCTCTGTTTATTCACTAACTAAAATACCACCTTGAAAATTATTTAGCAAGTTGTTTATGATTTGCCTAAATATAAATTGCTTTCCTTTATTAAAAAAGAAAGATGATGATTTTTACCTAAAACCCAGAGTCTGTTGTCCTTAGCATTGTTAACACTTATAATTCAAAATGTCAACAGTGTTCTCACTAATTATAGGCCTGTTTCTCCACGTTGGCCTAAAGTGGAAGTCAGAAATCAGAGCTCAGATTCTTAACTCAGCCACTGATTTAGAAACCAGCAAACTGTCAGAAAATCATTTAGTTCTCAAAAGATAGAAAAATACTGATCACCTCAGTCCTTCAGTTCCACCTAAGAACCAAGAGAGACTGTGTTCATTGTTCTGCAAGTGCTAATATGGAAAATTCTAGAAAACACTCCAGCTGCAAAAATGTCGACTGAACACAGCAAGTAGCAGCACACACCTGTAATCGCAACTGTCTGGGCGGATGAGGCTCCAGGGTACCACCTTTAAGGCCCACAGCAGAAACTTAGCAAGATCCTGTCTCAGAATAAGTTAGAGGGCAGGGGCTTCAGAAAATTCTAGAAAAATGTTGACTAAAGTACATTATATATCTACATTGATGTTTCTGGACTTCAAATGTTCTGTTTACATTTACAGCTTCTTCTTTCAGGTTGAAATACATATGCATAGAATCCATTTTTTAAAGTAGGCCTTTCATTTACTTACTCTGAACTAATTTTTCAAACCATTAGGGTTCTCCTGATGGTGCTGGACTTCAGGGATGCAATGCCCGGGTCCACATTCCCCACATCCACACCTGGCACTGTGCCATAAGTCATGATGCTGTTTCCCTCAGGGACTTTTCTGCCCTGGAATCCTCATCTTTCAAATCTGCCTTTAAATGGAAGTCTTTGGAGGGCCGGCCAAATAGCTCAGTGGATTAAAGTACCTGCAAGCAGGCGCAAGGGTCAGGGGTTC